GCCGCACTGCGCCTGCGCGCGCGGCTTCCGGCGCCGCGGGGCGCCCGCGTGCTCCTACCCCAGCTCGCCGCGTGGGACCAATGGGGCTTCTGCGGCCGGGGTCTGCGGACGCCACACCTGTACCGTGCCAAAGCCGAGAAGCTCCTTAAGCCTCCCAAGAATCCTGTGTGCCCCGCCTCGGTGAATGCCTTTCACTGTTCTCGGAATTGCCCGTCAGAACTTGGGTACCATCCTCAATCCACCCTTGATTTAGATCCATCCAAAACCGAGTCCCGTGGACTGCACCCCAGATGACCTCGCAACCCGTTCACTTTTGTCTACCCCTCATCACTTCCTTAGTTCATTCAGGCCCTCCCTATTTGGACCCCCATTTTCCAAAAGTCTCACACTTCTATCTTTGGCCTCATCCAATCCCTTATCCAGAGTGGTGCCAGGATGATCTTCCAAAAACAAATGTGATGTCCCTCCTTTGGTAAGGTTTTTAATGGCTTGCCCCTTATCTTAGAGAGACAAATGTGTATAGCAGGTAAGAGCACAAATGGGGGCCAGAACTACCTTGTTCAAGATCTTTCCTCTACATTCGTAAACTATGCCACCTTAGCAAGGACTAAACTTATCTCAACTCCCTTATTATAGAACCTACATGATACCATAAGGAATAAATCGCTTGATGTATGTAAGGGGCTTGGCAAATAAAAAGGGTCATGTATTAGTTTTTATCATTAGGTCCAATATTGTTAACGTTGGCCCCATCTAATTTCTCCAGCCCCGTTCTGAATATTTTGCAATTTTGCAACAGGACTAGGTGGGATTCTATTTTCCTCCCTTGCATGGAAGTTGTTGGGTTTCTTTAATCTTGAAGTTGGTATCTTTCATCAATCCTGGAAAATTCTGTCATTTTTCTTCAAATGCCTATTCATTTTTCTCTCCCCTGTAATTCAGACATAAGAATTTTTTTTTTTTTTTAACCAACTGTCTGCATTTTCTTTTTGTCTCTCTGTTACAACAGTCTGGATAATTTGTTTTGTGTCAGTACACTACAACCTGGCATCTTGCTGGTCTCCCTTATTAATTATGTAGAGAGTGTGTGTGTGTGTTGTGTGTTCGTTCCTTGGCATTTTTTTTTTCCCTGTAGAGTCATTTCATCTGCAAATAGGAAGTTGATTTTTTTTCCCTTTTCAGTCTGAATGCTTTTTATTTTCCTTTCTGCCTTATTACGCTAAGTAGGAGGACTTTTATATGTACTAAGAGTGATAAAACTGGGCATATTTGCCTTGTTCTTTTTCAGAAAGGAAAAGCAGTCTTTCACCTTGAAGTATGTTAGCTGTTTAGAGGTTTTGTAGATGCTCTTTATCAAGGCCAGAAACTTCTTCTGTATGCCTAGAATCACCAATTACCATTGAATATTATCAAGGTTTTTTTTTCCTGAATCAGTTGGCATGATCATGTTATTTTTCTTCTGTAGCCTGTTGATACAATGAGTTACAGATTTTTCTTTGTGGGGTACTGCAGATTGGACCCATGACCTTACATATGCTAGGCAAGCCCTCTACCACTGAGCCACATCCCTAGCCCTTTTTGTGGCAGGGTCTGGTTAAGTTGCCCAGGCTGGCCTCACATTTGAGATCCTCCTGTCTCAGCCTACCAACTACCTGGCATTATGGTGGGCATGTTTTCCTGTATTTTAAGAAATGTAACTGTGAGCTGGGCATGGTGGCTCACATGTGTAATCCCAGCTGCTTGGGAGCTGAGGCAGGAGGAGTTCAAAACAGTCTCAGCAATGGACTCAGTGAGACCGTCTCTAAATAAAATACAAAATAGGGCTTGAGATATGGCTCAGTGGCTGAGTGCCCCTAAGTTCAATCCTCGGTACCCCACCCCCCCAAAAAAATAAAAATAACTGTGTCTCTAGGGAAAGAATATAGAAATAGATTAGAAAATCCATTCTTCTAGAAAGTAATTTCATTTATTTCTATCAGATATCCAAGACACTAACAATACAGAAACATAGCTTGAATATCCCTAAATTCCTGAGTTGTAAATCCTTAAGAAGATTTTATTCCTGACCTACTCTTTTTTACTCTGAAAGGTGTATGGTATTTCAGTTTTTGTTTAAAACTGAAACATTAGACTCCCCATTATATGTGGACTTTGGGTTTTGATTTCTGTCCCACTCAATGTGAAGTCTGATTTGCTAGAATCAAACATGGTTTTCCTTTAGGTCAAACGTGGTTTACATGGCTAGGGTTGGGCAGCAGTGTAGCTCAGTGGTTGAGTACTTACCTAGCATACACGAAACCCTCAATGTGATCTCCAACATTGCATCCGTACTCCATTTCTTTCTGGATTCTTGTTTATTTTCTTTTTTCTTTTTTGGTTCTGGGGATCAAACACAGGTATGCTTAACCACAAGGCACATCCCCAACCCTTAAAAAAGACAGGGCCTCAAACTTGTGATCCTCCTGCCTCAGCCTCCTGAGTTGCTGGGATTACAGACATGGGCCACTACACCTGGCTTTATCTTCACTTTCGACTGTTAACTTTGTGTTTGCTACCAGGGATCAAACCCAGGGTTTCCCACATGCTAGGTAAGCACTCTACCACTAAGCTACATCCCCAGTTTTTTTGTTTTGTGTTTTGTTTTGTTTTGGAGACAGGGTCTGGCCTCAGCCTCCTGAGTTGCTAGATTATATGCATCACCATGCCTAGTTTGACTGATAACTTTTTACTAATTTGTCTGTTCTTGGAATCATCAAGAACTTTTTCTGTTCATATTTTACCTTTAAGTTTTTGCAGGTGGGTTCATCAAAATAATGTAGTTCCATTGTGAAAAGAAACCAGAAGTCTCACTACTTCAATTCCCCTACTGAACTTCAAGTTTTCCCAAAGCCTCTTTTAGCATTTCTGGTGCCATTGCTTGGCTTGTTCTGTGTAACTCCTCATTCTTTTATTCATAAGGCTCCCTTAACCCCAGCTTTTCACTTAAACAATCCCCAATGTGTCGTCCATCTATTGATGTATATAGCTGACTCCATGGCTCTGCAAGGGCCAGCATTTCTACATCTTAATGCTAAAGGTCTAGCTACTTGGGATACTGAGATTCACTCATTTGAACCCAGCCTGGGCAACATACCAAAAGCCCATCTCAGAAAGAAAATAGTGTTTGAATAATACCAGTACTGCTTACCATTGTATGACCTTAACTTTCTATGCCTGAGTTTTCCCATTTGCAAAATGGAACAATGGTTGAAGCCTGCCTCATCTGAGTTATAAAGATGAATTAGGAGTACATATGAGAGTTAGTACATGCTTAGCTCTGTACTTATTCATAGAAAGTGTTCCTCAATCCCAGCCAGCTTTATTATTAAAGTCTCAATTGAAGCACTTCTTCCACACTCAATTACTGAAAACTTTTATGAATCAACAAGATCATTTCTTTTTTTTTTTTTTTGAATTTTTTTAATATTTATTTTTCAGTTCTCGGCAGACACAACATCTTTGTTGGTATGTGGTGCTGAGGATCGAACCCGGGTCGCACGCATACCAGGCGAGCGCGCTACCGCTTGAGCCACATCCCCAGCCCTCAACAAGATCATTTCCAAGTAGCTCCAGCTGTGACTTGGTGATGTAAGTTTGGGGGTGACTTCTCTACCCCCAGAAGTCCCATCTAATCTGATTTCCTTGAGATCCCTGTGAAATGGGCAGCTTAATGAATCATCTGTCTTCTTTTTATGAAGTTCTGCAGTTGGAAACCAACAGTCCAGAGGAAAGATGACTTGAACCAGGACTGCATGATTTCTCACTATCATTATGGAACTTGAGGCAAACAATGTATAGAATCCTTTCCAAAATCCCCCATTGTGTGTTGCTCCCTAGACTGTTGAGGCTTCTTCAGTAGTCCAAAATCAGCCTGTCCTCTAAGGCATATTTCAGATTCCATCTGTTAGTTCAGCTTTGAATCACTGTGACCAAAAGACCTGACAAAAACAATTTAGAGGAAGAAAAGTTTATTTTAGTCCAGTCTATGGTCAGTTCACTCCATAGCCCTAGGCCATAGGTGAGGCAAAGCATCATGATAGAGAGGGCGTGGCAGAAGAAAGCTGATCAGTTCTTGACAGCTAGGAAGCAAAGACAACTTGCAAGCAAGGAGCCAGAGATAATATAACCCCCAAAGGCACGTACCCAGTGACCTACTTCCTCCAGCCACATCCTACTTGCCTACAGTTACCATCCATTAAAATTATTAAACCAGCCCAGTGTGGTGGCACATGCCTGTAATCCCAGCCGCTTGGGAGGCTGAGACAAGAGAATTGCCAGTTCAAAGCCAGCCTCAGCAATGGTGAGGCACTACGCAACTCAGCGAGACCCTATCTTTACATAAAATACAAAATAGGATTGGGACTGTGGCTCAGTGGTTAAGTGCCTCTGAGTTCATCCCTAGTACCAAAAATATATATTCATATATATTAATCCAGCAAATGGTTTAACCCACTGATTAGTTTTCTCCCATAATTGAATGATTTCACCTCTGAACATCCCTGCACACAAGCTTTCAGGGAATAACTCATATCCAAACCACACATCATCTCTTCTACAAGATGCAGTTCACCTTGAAATTTTTGCTCCCTATGTCTGACTCACAGTGATAAACCAACTGCTAGCACACTATGCGTCTGCTGATGGGAAATTCACTCAGTATAAACAAATTCACTTCTATTTTTTTTAATAAAAAAACCACTTTTGGGCTGGGGATGTGGCTCAAGCGGTGGCGCGCTCGCCTGGCATGTGTGTGGCCTGGGTTCGATCCTCAGCACCACATACCAACAAAGATGTTGTGTCCACCGAGAACTGAAAAATAAATATTAAAAATTCTCTCTCTCTCTCTCCTCTCTCTCACTCTATCTTTAAAAAAAAAAAACCACTTTACTTTTTTTTTACGTATTTTTTGCAGTGCTGAAGATCAAGGTATGTGCCACCACACAGAGCTGGATTAATAATTTTAATGGATGGTAACTGTAGGCAAGTAGGATGTGGCTGGAGGAAGTAGGTCACTGGATACATGCCCTTGGGGGTTATATTATTCCTGGCTCCTTGCTAGGAGTGCTAGGCAAGTGCTCTACCACTGAACTACATCCCCAGCCCTTTTAAATTTTTTAAATTAACATACTGTGGAATACCACCAAGCACAGTGGTACACACAGCAATTTAGGGAGACCCTGTCTCAAAAAAAAAAAAAAATCGACATGCCTCCATAAAATGTGCTTGTGGGGGAAGGGAAATCTCAAAAGAGTTTTTAAACAACTGTCTTTTTAAATTGTTTCCCATTTGATAAATACACTGAAGCTTTAAGATCCATAATTTTAATTTAAACCAAGTAGCCTTTTCACTTGATATAAACTCACATGACCAGAACATTATTTCTTAAATAGGCATTGCTGACATTGTGTGCCACATTTAGACTCTAATTAACAGGACATTTTGTTCCTCAGATCCACAACTCATTTTCAAAAGGAAGGATGTTAAAAAATATAACTACCTGTGCAACATATCAAAGGATACTCAACCTGAAATACATATTTAAGTTCAAAGTTCTTTAAAACTAAGCTATTGTATACTAACACACTCAAAACAATAAAAATTTTTCTTAAAAGTTTATTATCTTGGTTACTTCTGTTTCATCTTATCACCAGCACACAATAAAGTAATATAAAGTTACATCACCAATGGCACTTAATGAGCTATCCTTGGTCAATAATAGAACGAGTGAGTGGGTTAGAGTTGCTAGAAGACTGATGGGAGCTGGGCACTGTGGCACACTTCCATGAACTCAGCAATTTGAGGGCTGAGGTAGGATTAAGTTCTAGGCCAGCCTTAGCAACTTAATGAGTGAGATCCTATGGACATAGCTCAGTGGTAGAGGCCCCTGGGCTCAATCCCAGGCACTAGAGAGGAAAAGAAAATAGAGGCCCAATGGGGAAAACCTGAAGATTTTGTCTCATACCTCCGCAGAATTGTGGATGACCACAGAAGACTTGGGGGAGGGGGGACTCAGAAGCAAAGGGCTGTTTTGCATGTAGCTTTGATTTTGACAGCAATGATTCACAGAAAAGCCAGCCCCAGAGGAGAAAGAATGAAGCAGCAGCAAATAGCCACGATGAACAGGAGTTTCTAGGTTCTGGAGACAGTGTTTTTCTTTTCTTTTTCTTTAGGAATAGAGAGTGAAACTAGGGACACTTTATCTCTGAGCTATATCCCTACCCCTTTTTTGAGAGGGTCTCACTAAATTGCTTGGGGCCTTGAAAAATTGCTGAGGCTGTCCTCAAACTTGCAAACTTCTTGCCTCAGCCTCCCTAGTCACTGGTATTTTCAGGTATGAGCCACCACGTTAAGCAAGGAAGGGAAAAATACCTTAATTTAGGAAGTTATTCCTCCACTAAAGCAGAAGTTCACTATATAATTGGGACCTCTTTTTAAATAATGTAGGCAAAGCAGCCTATCACAGTGCCCACAAGGAAGGTGTTTTGAAGCCAAATTCAAGGCTACCAAGGAGCAATTTTAGCAACAAACACCAAATAAAGGGGCCCTGCAGTAAGATTATCAGATTACTACCTAATCCCAGAAAGAAAACTTATCTGGGTCAAGAGGAAAAAAATTTTTTTTAATATTTATTTTTTAGGTGTAGATGGACACAACACAATGCTTTTATTTTTATGTGGTGCTGAGGATCGAACTCAAGCCCCAAGAGAAAAATTAATCAAAACAGAATCTACTTTTAAGACATGCACATATGTATTACCTGACATACGGCACTAAGTAGCAATTGTAGGGGCCAGTGTAAAACACATGGGATGTGAAGTAGCAATTGTCATTCCCTTGGTTGCTGTAGTTTTCCTTAATCTTACCTTTCATCTAATTGGCCTTATTAAGTGGTCACTCTTCAAAGGGAATCTTTCAATTTCTTTTGAATAAACACTAGTCAGAGCTGCCCCTCCCTGCTCTAGCCAAACTTTACCCCTGAGTACACCTGCATATGTGATACCATAATGTAAAAACAGTGGAAAAGAAGAGAATCTAACTCAACAGCAGCCTAAGTTTCAACCTAGGAGAGTCAAGAGCAGCACTGAGTGAGCTGCATCTCCTTTTGCCCAGCACCCCTACCACGTGAGGACGAAATGGTAGAGATGGTGTTTCACTGTGTGAAAGGCCAATTACACCTAACCTGCCTTAAGTTCTGAATACTCTAGGATGCAAAAACCCTTCACTGCCAGTTCAGAAAAGCACCATTGCTTCAAGGTAACCAATATTCACTCACTGTAATCTGAAGACTGGATTCCAGGGCAGATGTAGGTCCTCTCTTCACTAGTTCCTGGTCTCTCAGTGGCACTCAACAAGACTACCGATTTTTATTTTAAAAACACTGGATACAAAGACTCCTTCAGCAGCAAACATACCTATATACACACAGCCCTCTATGCTAGGAAAGTATTACCCTTTGAAATGTGGCTATATTTACAAATTTTATTTTTTATCCCAAAAATACATATAAACAAAAACCTGCTCTTCAAATGCAGGGAGGCCTTTGCCTATCATGTGGTATTACATTTATATCACAAAACATTGTCTTATGAAAATTGGTACACAGCTCTTTAACACAATTTGTATATCTATATATATATATAGATATATGTATATATATGTATATACATATATACACACATACACACACAAACTATATGTAAGTAGTTAAAGACTTTTTTCCTACTTACACATAGTCCTCTGGTAGAAAATTTGGAAACTGGACAGTCCCCTTGATTTCCAGACTTGGATGGTAAATACAACCTTTGAACAATTTTTTTAAGGATGAAATGTGTAGAAACATGTAAGCTACACAATCTCCTTTAGACATATATACATGTTGTTAGAATAAGGATCCTGCCACATTAGCAACAGTGTTATTACTCAAAGGGGGAAAAAAGGAGAAATAACATTTGAACAAAAAGGCAAACTTTAGAACAGACAAGATGATCAAAATTGTTATATACATGTTCTATAAAGAAATCAGGACTTTTCTCTTAAGAAACAGATCCACAATGCATTTCAGCCTCTCATGATATTAAATCAGCACCAGTTGGTAGTAGCCAAGATCTTCCTGTACAGTCATGTACTTAAGCAGGTGCCATAAAGCATCTGTTTAAGTTAAACAGTCACTAATGAGGTCACACGGCAAACCCCCTCCTCTCCCACTCCCCAAAAAAGCTAAGTGCAAAATCAACTTCTATGACTCAAGAGCTCAACCAGGTCAAAGCTTTGGTGGAGGCTGTTTTGGTGACAACCAAAGCTTATTAAGATTCTGTTTAGAGGTTTGCCCCCAAACAAAAACTCCTGGTCCACAAAGCTTAACAACTAAATAAATAATAAAGTAACTATACAAAGAGAACAAGCCATGACTCCCCTTCAAATAAGGGTTAGTTTCCTAGGCAGCAGTTCTGAAAGCACCAACTAAAGCCACAATGCTTCTACTAAAACGACGTGTTGTAATCGATGAGACTCTTCTGAAAACAAATGGCACAGACACGTGGCTGATGTGCCACAGAAAAAAGTTCAACAAAACCTAAGTCAGTGTTCTTACACTGTAAAATAAGCTGGTCAGCAACACAGGAAAGACTTAAGGCAATAAAAGGCATTACAGAGAGCACCACCGTGCTCTTTGAGGCAATCCTAAAGTCTTCCAAGAAGAAAAAATGTCTCAATGGTTTGGTTAAGTTTGCTAGCTGTCAGACACTATTTCCTCCTCCTCCTCGTCATCCTCATCTTCCTTTCTGTCTAGTTCAGAGGTATCTGATGACTCATGGAGCAAGACATACTCTCTGCTGCTGAATCCAAATTTAAGCACATCCTTTTCTTTCAGTTCATAATATCTCTGTGGCTCAATGCGCTTGTTGTTCAAGAAGGTTCCATTGCCTGAGCCAAGGTCAATGATGTAGGGCTTCACCCTTCGGCCAATTGTGCCATCAGCACGGGTGTATTCCACAAGCCTAGCAAGAGAGAAAGGAGACAGCCTATGAGGAAAATCCTGCCTCAGATCATCTAGCCTTCTCTAGAGCTAATGATGTCAATAACCTGGCTGAAACAAGATTCAAGTTAAAACTTTAGGAAACTAAGGGGGAAAGCATTGCCTTGGATAGGGAAATTGAGAGCAGCTTAAATATACTTAGTAGAAAGGTAAGAATATACATTTGGGTTCATTCTTGGGGGGGTAGATCAAAAGTTTGAAATGCAGAATTCAAGTTGTTTGCCATGAAAAAGAAAATTTTTTTCCCTGTTGTTTCTAATCAATAAAATGTTTCTTAAACCTATATTTTGATATGTTTTAGCTTCATTCCAAATGGAGAAAACGATGGCCTTGGACTTCAAAGTCAAGGGAGCCAAACTTGAGCCAGAGTTCTATTATGGCAATTATTTATTAGGAAGTCACCTGGCTTTGCTGAGCTTTAGTTTTCTCATCTGTCAGATGGAAATATTAATACTGATCCTATCTTCCTCACAGGATTATTCTGAGAATCAAATGGTCACAGATACACTATGCAAGCTATTAAGATGCAGATTTAGGTAACATATATGCCAGGCATTTTTTGGTATATTTCCAGTTAAACCTCATAACAGCCCTGTAGGGAAGATGGAAACAGGCCCTGAGAGAAGCTTGCCCAGGGTCAAATACTTGTAACTGGCAATGACAGAATTTTAAATCTGGGTTTCTGATACCAGATCAAGCTCTTCTACACATATAAGCAATTAGTAAATGTGCATTTAGATTTACAGTACTCTTTAAAATTAACATTAGGGCTGGGGATGCAGCTCAGTGGTAGAGCACTTGCCTAGCATGCATGGGGCCCTAGGTCTATTCCCAGCATGGCAGGATGCAAGGGGGGAAAGGTATTTAATATTAGACACGAGGGGTACTAGATTCTTCTGCAAATACATGATGCAAATCTTAGTAATCCTAACTAAGGAAGCTATTTGGTTTCTGCTGGCATTTCAGGTTCTTCCTCTGAAGGCATACCTACCGATACTGAAAGACTGCATGTTGCTTTGAACACGAGGGATGATCAATTGGAATGTCTGCAATGCGGCGGTGTCGACCCAAAAGGTAGGCACTCTGTCGATGGATATACATGACTGGAAGTACCTCATCATTTTTAAAGGGGTAGAGACGCCATCGTTTTTTGGGGATACGAGCTTCTGGGGGCTCACTGTATTTAATGACTACACCCCGGAAAGTGTTGGTGTCCTCAAGAAGTGCACCAGAAAGTTCAAAGCTTGGTTTTTCTTTAGCAGGCACCTCTTTGTCTTTATTATTGCCACCAGGTCGAGGAATCACCTCCTGAGGCTCATTAGCACTGCCACTGATTTCATTCTTCTGGCGATGCTCCCGGCGCCTGGCATTATAAAACTCCCGCTCTTCCTCCTGAGCCTGCAGGCTTTGGCTGTCCCGGTCCCGTCCAGAGGCCTGCCCGCTCCCAGGCCTCTCATCAGAACTTCTCCTTTGGCGGGAATGGCCCCGGTGTCTATCTCGGTCACTGTTCCTAGCTCTCCTGTGTTCCTGTTCTGATGATTCACGATGCTGTCGATCCTCCCGTCCTCTCCGGGGATGATCTTCCCGCTCCTAAAATTCAAAAGGACTCAATAAATAAAAGGCAGTCCACAATTTATTTTTTAAAAAGCTGCATTCAAAAAGTCATTTGTCTTCTGGATTTTGGCAGTCAGTGTGGTGGTTATGTTCCCTCAACTACAACCCTAACAGCACAAATTCATGGCTACAGTCCTAAAATCAAGAGATTAATTCATATACAGAGAAGAAAAAGTAATACCCTCCCTTTCAGAATATGCTTAACTACAGGCAAACCTGCAGGGAAGCATATACAGAAAATGGAACAAAGAATTAAATAGCATATCCAAGATTCAAAAAAGAAAACACTACCTTTCTTTTCTGCCAAAAATGAAACCATAATAGTTAATTTTTCAAAAATCCTACTTCAGCAGTAATAAAAATTACTCAATATTGAAGAATAAGCTTAAGAAACATGAAAGACAAAAGAAATCTATAAAAATGTATTAAAAACCTGAAAAAAATGGATAAACATACCATAATTTCATGAAAAACAAGTGTTGAAAAACAGCCTGCCAGAAAATGTTCACCACAGGTCCCATATATTAATATACAATTAAAAATAAACAGTAAGTTCAATAGAAAAATGGGCATTAAAAAAAAGCAATTTTCAGATGAAATGTCTAATAAATTCTTGAAGAGATGTTTACCCTCACTAATAACCAAACAACAAAAGTTCTAAAAATAATATGAATTTTCTTAGTCAGCAAAATTAAAAAGCTCATTTAAAAAGATCATAAAAAGATAATAGCTAGTGACAAAAAAAGAAAATGGGATATCCTCAGTCACTGCTACTGCAAATGCAAACTGTACAGCCTACTTAAGGCAATACTTCAGTATTCAATATTGATTTCACCAACCAGTAATCCAACTCACAGGAATCTATTTTATAGAAATACCAGGCAAAAATGCACAAAGATAAATATGTAAGGATGCTTACTGCAATCTTATTTGTAGTAATAAAAACTGAAGACAATAATAAAATGGTTAAATAAATTGACTATATATTCATACAAAGGGTTACTTCAGAGTTATTAAAAAAAAGGAGATAGCTTGGGAGGTTGAAATAGAAAGATCCCAATTTCAAAGCCAGCCTCAGCAACTTAGCAAGACACATGTACAAAAAAAAAAGGAGGACTGGGGATGTGGCTCAGTGGTTAACAGCCCCTGGGTTCAATCCCCAATACCCTCCCCACCCCCAAAAGAATATACCTAAAATAAAAGAGAAGGGGATAAGTTTCACAATATATAGAAATATCTCCACTCAGCAGGTAAGATACTTAGAGGGGTATTCCCACTACAATTCAACTAAATATCAGATAAAACATTGTTAAACTCACAGAAAGCAAGGGAAAATCTTTGGGAAGGGAATCAACTAAACATAAGCTCAAAAATTAAAAAGCACTAAACACACAAAGAAACAAGCCTATGTTTATGAGGAACAACAGAAACAACTCCTATAGATTTAAATCCCCAAGGACTTCAGACATTGTACTAGTAAGATATAGAATACAAAGCATATTTATATATAAAAATGTTTGCAGTTGGGCATGGTGGCACATGCCTGTAATCCCAGAACTCAGGAGGCTGAGGCAAGAGTTTTATAAGTTTGAGACCAGCCTAAGCAACTCAGCTAGACCCTGTCTCAAAATAAAATAAAAACAGTTAGGGATGTAGCTCAGTGGTAGAGCACTTGCCTAGCATGCGTGAGGCCCTCAGTTTGGTGTTTTTTCCCCAACCTGGGAAAGAAGGAAAAAAGGGAGGTAGGGAGGAATTACAAATGATTAAAGTTAACAATTTTTAAACAGCCAGAAAGCCCTAGGTTCAATCCCAGCACAGGGATGGAGGTTGAGGAGAACCAAAAAATAACAACTATTGGTGAAAACACAGAAAGACTGGAACCCTTATGTATTACTGAGAGGAATGTAAAATGGTATAGCCAAACAAAATGGTGGTCTGCAAAAAATTTAAAAACCATTATATGATTCAGTAATTTCATTTCTGGGTATGTAGAAAAGAAATGATCTGGGCAGGGTAGTGCATGCCTGTATTCCCAGCAACTCAGGAGGCTGAGGCAGGATGATCTCAAATTCAAAGCCAGCCTCAGCAATTTAGGGAGGCCCTAAGCAACTTAACAAGAACCTGTCTTGTTAACCAAAAATAAAAAAGTGCTGAGGATATGGCTCAGTGGTTAAGTACCCCTGTGTTCAATCGCTGGTATTAAAAAAAAAAGAAAACAGGATCTCAAACAGTTATTGGTAGGCAGGCGTGGTGGGGCACGTCTGTAATCCCAGCAGCTTGAGAGGCTGAGGCAGGAGGATCATGAGTTCATAGCCAGCCTCAGCAAAAGAAAGGTGCTAAGCAACTCAGTGAGACGCCGTCTCTAAATAAAATAAAAACATGGCTAGGGATGTGGCTCAGTGGTCGAGTGCTTCTGAGTTCAAAAGGATTGAGGGTACAAAAAAAAAATGTTATTTGTACATGTGGTTCAATCCTTTTGAACTCAGCAACATAATTCACAATACCCTAAAGGTAAAAGTAACCCATACCATCCATAGATGAATGGACAAACAAAATGTGGTATATACATACAATGTAAGATTATTTAACCCTAAAAAGGAAATTCTGACACATGCTATAAGATGGATGAATCATGAGGATATTATTCTAAGTAAAATAAGCCAGACCCAGAACAACAAATAATACATCAGTCTCCTTATGAGAGTTGCCTGAAGTAGTTACATTTATAAAGACAGAAAGTAGAATGGTGGTTACCAGAGGCTGGGAAGAGAGAGGAATTATTGTTTAGTTGGTACAGAGTTTTACAAGATGAAAAAGAGTTCTAGAGAAGGATGATGCTGATGGCTACACAACAAGGGAATGTATTTAATACTAGTAATCGGATACTTTAAAAAGAGTGAATTTTATATTTTTCCCAAAATTAGAATACTTAAACTGGGCAGAATGGTACACATCTGTAATCCCAGTGGCTCAAGTGGCTGATGCAGGAGGATTGCAAATTTGAGGCCAGTGTAGGCAAATTAGCAAGACCTCTTCTCAAACCAAAATAAAACGGGGTGGGGGATGTAGCTCAGTGGTACAGCACTGCTGTGTTCAAACCCCAATAGTGAAAAATAAAACATTAGGTGGTATAATGGATTTGTGGTTATCATTATTATTTTTTTAATCCTCATCTTTTAGGGACATGTGCTTAAAATATTTACAGATGGAATGGTACATCCAGAACTTGCTTTAAAACAACCAATCCAGGGCAAAGAAGGAAGTGGATAGGAATAGACATGGTATGCTGACTACTTATAATTATTTAAGCCAAGTGACAGATACATGAAAGGTTCATTAAATATGCTTTATTTTTTTCTCAATAAAAAGTTAAACAAAAATACCCAGATAAGGGCTGGGGATGTAACTCAGTGGCAGAGCATTTGCCTTCACATGTTCAAAATCTTGTACCTCCAAAGGAAAAAAAAAAAGGAAAAAGAAGCAAGCAGAGCTTTTAAAATCCTGAAGTGGGTAAACAAAAAGAAATTTGCCTCTAGGATGGCGATACTGTTTATAATCCCAATGACCTGGGAAGCTGAGGTGGAAGGATTACAAGTTCAAGATCAGCCTCAGCAACTAAGTAAGACTCTGACTCAAAATAATAAATATATAGGACTGTGAATACAGCTCAGTGGTAAAGCACCCAGGGTTTAATTCCCAGTACCAAAAGGAAAAAAAAAAAAATTGCTGTTTAGGTACATGGTAACCACGCTGCAAAACATCAAAGCAAAAAGACCCTTTTTGGGGGGTCAGGGAGTTTTTTGGAAGCAAAGGAATAAAAAGAAGTCTCCCTATCATCAGGGAACAAGGAGGGTAGGGAAGGCATGGCATAATCATTCTGATGTCCTGGTTTCCCCAGATGTTAAACATGTCCAGAGTCAAGAGGGACAGAACCCTGAACAATGTAAGCAAAGCTATGACCTCAGGAGAGGGTGAGGAGGAATTTCTGAGTACTGCAGCAAAAGGTCTCTCCCCACCCCAAGTCCTTCTCTCTAGCACAACAAGGGATCAAATGTACCCTGAATGCTCAGAGTAAGTTTCTCTGGATTTCCTAGCCTCTAAAAATAAGTATTCAGAGGTATACCCAAACACCGATCCCCCTCATACCTGCAATCATTATTCAAGGTGGTACCTGCCTTGAGTTCACCAGAACTAATCTTTTATGTTCTTTATCATTTAATAGATAACGATGATGATGATGATGATGTTGTTGTTGTTGTTGTAGTAGTAGTAGTACTGGGGATTGTTCCCAGGAACACTTTACCAATGAGCTGCATCCCAAGCCCTTTTTTAAATTTGAGACAGGGTCTCACTAAATTGCTTAGGCTAACCTCAAACTTGCCACCTTTCTACCTCAGCCTCCCAAGTCACTGGGATTACAGGAACACACCACAATACCCCATTATCCCTGATTTTAACAAGTATCAGTCACTAGCTGGGTGTGGTGGTGCATGCCTGTAATCCCAGTGGCTCAGGAGGCTAATGCAAGAGAATCTCAAGTTCAAAGCCAGCCTTAGCAAGGCCTAAGCAATTTAGCAAGACCTTGACTTAACAAATAAAAAGGGCTAGGATGCAGGCTAGGGTTGTAGCTCAGAGGTAGAGCGCTTGCCTTGCATGTGTGAGGCACTGGGTTGGATCCTCAGCACCACATAAAAATAAACAAAATGAGAGCATCAACCCCATCTCCTTGCATTCTTCTTCTTTTTTCTTTTTAATAATTCTTATTATACATATATACCCACCTCCTTGCATTCTATATTCCCACAAGGCTCTACACTTCCAATACTCTGTTCAAATCCCACCCTTTTTTAACTCCTGAAACCACTGCACTGCACTATGCTCCCTAGAACATAAAGCTCAGCAAAACCTACATTCTCAATGTTGTCTCTGTTCCCTTCACCTTTTGCTCAAAGAGAACCCTCCCTCAGCTCTAAGGA